TTCCGCGACTCGCTGACCCCGTCAGCCCTTCCCGTCTTTGGCGCCATCTCGATCTTCCGGCCCTTTCGCGATGGCGCGCCGTGGCGGCCCCACGCTGCCGACTCGACGAAACGAGCGACGGATGAGATGGTGTGAGGGCGCGAGTTGGCGTGCGCAATTTCTTTTACTTCCTCGCGGGAGTCGCTTTACCTGTGTTAGTGCCAGTGGGCGTGCCAGTCCTGTGCTCAGTCCTGTGTCGAGTGTCGTGCGAGGGAGCTTTGTTGTAGATTTCTTTTTTATTTTTCCATACAAGGTCAAGGAGCAAATCTCTCCCCCATAGATACCGCGCTGGTGTCCAGTCCCATCCTTGCGTTTTGCCCACGCACAACTGCATACGCGCTCCGCGCAGTTCCCACGTGCTACACCAAAGCGAGAGGAAAGGCCCGCGCCGTCGCCATCGGCACCACCGCCTCCCACGCATCCAGAGCCGGGTCGTACTGCTCGACCGAGCTAAGTGTGTTGTAGCCGGCACCCTGTCCGCCCACAGCGTACAGTTTGCCATCGAGCACCGCCACGGCGTGATATTGCCGCGCCTCTGCCATCGGCGCCACCGTCTCCCACGCATCCAGCGCCGGATCGTACCGCTCCACCGAGCTGAGAGAGTTGTCGTCGACGTTCTCCCCGCCAACGGCATACAACTTGCCGTCGAGCACCGCCACGCCGAAGGCTATCCGCCGCACCGCCATCGGCGCCACAGCCTCCCATGCATCCAGTGCCGGGTCGTACCGCACGACCGAGCTGAGGAAGTCACCGCTGTAGCCGCCCACAGCGTACAGCTTGCCGTCGAGCACCGCCACGGCGAAATTACACCGAGCCGTCGCCATCTGCGCCACCGCCTCCCACGTGTTCGCTGCCGGGTCGTACCGCTCCACCGAGCTGAGGGCGCCGTCGTCCTCGTTGAAGCCTCCGACAGCGTACATCTTGCCGTCGAGCGCCGCCATGGCGTGATTCTCGCGTGGCGTCGCCATCCGCGCCACAACCTCCCATGCATTCGTAGCCAAGTCGTACCGCTCCACCAGGTTGGAAGGTGCGCCGTCGGGCCCGAAACCGCCAACCGCGTAGAGCTTGCTATCGAGCACCGCCATGCAGGCTATCGTGTCTGCCGTCAGCATCGGCGCAACCGCCTCCTCCTCCCACTCATTCGTTGACGCGTCGTACCGCTCCAGAGAGCTGAGGATCTCGTTGGTGCTGTCTTGGCCGCCGTCACGAGCAGGCGCGGCCTCTCGCGCTTCTTCAGCGTCTCCTTCCAGCCGCGGCGCCACGCGCGGCACGTCCCCTTGGCAGCGTGCTCCTTGGTCGGCAGCTGGGCGAGGATGTGCGGGGCGAGGTCCGGCGAGAGGAGGACCTCGGAGAGCACCCACTCGGGCTGCTCCACGAGCCGAGCGGCGTGCTCCTCCGCCACGCGCAGCGCGGCGTCGCTCGCGCCCGCCTGCGCCTCGATGATGGCGCACAGCTGCTCTGGCGAGAGGCCCGCGACGCGGGCGCCGATGCGGTGGGAGGCCATCGGCGCGGGCGGTCACTGGTGCGGGTCGCTGCGGGCGTCTCTACGGTGGATCGGTTGTTCGATGATAAATAAATAAATAAACAGCCCCCCCTCTCTACTGTGAGATGGGTAAAAAGGAACAGGCCCCCGCCCTTGCGATCTTTGTGCAGGGTTCTTTGTCGCCCTGAGATTTTTCTTTTTTCGCTAAATTCTTTTTCTCCTCCCACTGCCGAAGCGGAGAGGATTTCGCTCACAAGGGTGTGAGGTACTGTTGGAACTCCCTCGTGCACACACGAGATAATCTCCTCTGGTGCGATGGCGGTGGAGAGATCGCCAGGAGGGGGCATCGCTGGACTATGCCCAAATGTTTCGAGGTGGTCCGCCTCACTCGTCTCGTCTCGCCCTCGTCTCCTCTCATCTCGCCCTCGAGCCTCGTCCGTCCCGTCCGGGTCCATGCCGCTCTCTCTCACCGCTCACTGCCCCTCTCTACATCAGGAGCGCGAAAGGAAAGGCCCGCGCCGTCACCATCGGCGCCACCTCCTCCCAGGCGTTCGAGGCCGGGTCGAACCGCTCCACCGAGTGAGCCGGCCTTTCGACCTCAGCAGCCTCGTAGTACCCGCCCACAGCGTACAACTTGCCTTCCAGCGCCGCCACCCCGGCACCGAGGCGAGCCAGCGTCAGCGGCGCCACAGCCTCCCACGCATTCGTAGCGGGATCGTACCGAGCTGAGGATGCCGTCGTAGCGGGATCGTAGTTGCAGCCACCCACAGCGTACAGCTTGCCGTCGAGCACTGCCACGCCATGGTCGACCCGTGCCTCCGCCATCGGCGCCACCGCCTCCCACGCGTTCGTCGCCGGATCGTACCGCTCCACCGAGCAGAGGAGGTCGTCGTCGTCGTTGCGACCTCCCACAGCGTACAGCTTGCCGTCGAGCACCGCTACACCGTGAGACTCTCGCGCTGTCGCCATCGGCGCCACCGCCTCCCACGCACCCAGAGCCGGGTCGTACCGCTCCACCGAGCTGAGGGTGCCGTCCTCGTCGTCGTCGTTCAAGCCGCCCACAGCGTACAGCTTGCCGTCGAGCACCGCCACAGCGTGTTCCTGCCGCGCCGTCCCCATCGGCGCCACCGCCTCCCACGCGTTCGCAGCCAAATCGTACCGCTCCACCAGGTTGGAATTTGCGTCCTCCATGTCGTCGGCAGCATTCCGGCCGCCCGAGGCGTAGAGCTTGTTATCGAGCACCGCCGTGCAGACATACCTTCGTGCCGTCAGCATCGGCGCCACCGCCTCCTCCTCCCACTCATTCGTTGACGCGTCGTACCGCTCCAGAGAGCTGAGGATCTCGTTGGTGCTGTCTTGGCCGCCGATCACGAGCAGGCGCGGCCTCTCGCGCTTCTTCAGCGTCTCCTTCCAGCCGCGGCGCCACGCGCGGCACGTGCCCTTGGCGGCGTGCTCCTTGGTCGGCAGCTGGGCGAGGATGTGCGGGGCGAGGTCCGGCGAGAGGAGGACCTCGGAGAGCACCCACTCGGGCTGCTCCACGAGCCGAGCGGCGTGCTCCTCCGCCACGCGCAGCGCGGCGTCGCTCGCGCCCGCCTGCGCCTCGATGATGGCGCACAGCTGCTCTGGCGAGAGGCCCGCGACGCGCGCGCCGATGCGGTGGGAGGCCATCGTCGTTGGATTTCGCTTGCAAGGGTGTGCGGTACTCTACGTACAGTCCTAGCCTGGCTGTTAAGAGAGGGGACGGAAGACGGGGGCCGGGGCCCAGGAATTGCGACTCGCCGCTTTCCTCCCGCTGTGATTCTGTGTGAGCTCTGTGTCTTGATTTGCCAACAATATACCTACAACCCAGCATACGGGGATGCTGAATGGAGGATTGCAAGAAAACCCCGCGCCGAGCCGGCCGAGGGACGTGCGAGCGCTCCTGGCAAAAGTTGCAAAAAATGGGGGCGATCCTCTCATCCACCGGCCCCGCGGGTCGCCAAAACCTCGACGGCGTGATGATCGACATCAGCTCACGCAGACCACATCGAGTCCATGTCCGACATCTCGCTCCAGATCGTCCGAGATCGCCGAGATCGCGATCTCGTCCCGAGATGAAGGGAGAGTAGGTGGTGGCGGCGCTGCCAGCGCGCCCCACGCCTCGCCAAAGCCTCGTCGGCGTGATGATCGACATCAGCTCACGCAGACCACCTCGAGTCCATGTCCGACATCTCGCTCGAGATCGTCCGAGATCGCCCGAGATCGCGATCTCGTCTCGAGATGAAGGATGATTGGGCGGCGGCGGCACTGCCAGCGCGCCCCGCGCCTCGCCAAAGTCTCGACGGCGTGATGATCGACATCAGCTCACGCAGACCACCTCGAGTCCATGTCCGACATCTCGCTCGAGATCGTCCGAGATCGCCCGAGATCGCCGAGACCGCGATCTCGTCCCGAGATGAAGGGAGAGTAGGTGGTGGCGGCGCTGCCAGCGCGCCCCGCGCCTCGCCGAAGCCTCGACGGCGTGATGATCGACATCAGCTCACGCAGACCACATCGAGTCCATGTCCGACATCTCGCTCGAGATCGCCCGAGATCGTCCGAGATCGCCGAGATCGCGATCTCGTCCCGAGATGAAGGGAGAGTAGGTGGTGGCGGCGCTGCCAGCGCGCCCAGGGCCTCGCCGAAGCCTCGACGGCGTGATGATCGACATCAGCTCACGCAGACCACATCGAGTCCATGGGCGACATCTCGCTCGAGATCGTCCGAGATCGCCGAGATCGCGATCTCGTCCCGAGATGAAGGGAGAGTAGGTGGTGGCGGCGCTGCCAGCGCGCCCCGCGCCTCGCCAAAGTCTCGACGGCGTGATGATCGACATCAGCTCACGCAGACCACCTCGAGTCCATGTCCGACATCTCGCTCCAGATCGCCCGAGATCCCGCCGAGATCGCGATCTCTCTGATAGGATGTGGCGCGCGCACTCCAGCGCGCCCCGCCTCCCAAATCTGCGGCGTGATGATCCACATCAGCTCACGCAGACCACCTCGAGTCCATGTCCGACATCTCGCTCGAGATCGTCCGAGATCGC